GAGCCAGCCACATTTATATCTTGGGTCAGTCAAGCAGCATGCAATTTATCATGAACGTATGTCATGGCACGCCAAAGCCCGATGTGGGATTTCGTTTACTTTTGTGTAGCGTCGAATAAAATGTAGCTCGCACAATTTATGTGAGCATATTCTTCCATGTTCCAAAGAATTACTCTTACAATGGTTTTTAACTATCGGGCTAATAGAAAGCATTGCTGGCCTATGCGAATTACCAACGCCTACGCCTTTAAAATGGACAAAGTTGGGCAAAAACGATAAAAATGTAAAAAAAGTTACAATTGAAAAACAACAGTAGGCTTCGACATATTTCCGAACTTACAATTTAATGAGCGTCAAATGAAGCGTCAATTCAAGCAAGGTACATCAATCTTCTTTGAACTTTACCATATAGTGCACTAACTAAATTTGTTACCATATGGCATGCTAATTAATTAAATGACTAATATAGAAACCATATGATAGGTTTTGTTATCATAGTAAAAAGATAAAAAAAATTATAGCTGTTGTGTAGGTTGCCGAGTGGCTTTTTTTTCTTTTTGGAATTTTGATATCTTATTTTCCATTTTTTAGGGTAAAAATAACTTTTTTGAATTTTTTTAATGTCATAACATTAAAATTTATAGAGGATTTTATTTTGTTTTTAATCATATGATGTGAAAGCATTTTCTAATAAATTTTCAATCATTTTTGTTATAATATTATAATTAATAATTATATATTGATAACCAAATCTTGTATTTTATTTATTAATTTATCTTTGTTATAAATTATGTAATGTATTATTTTTTTCTTATAGTTGTAAATAAACTTTTAAAAATTAGATGATATTATAAGATATTTTAGGTTTGTTCTTATTTGTATAGTAAAATAATTATAAAATATAAACCAACAATTTCAATTTTAGAATATAATATTATAATTAGTCAAGTTGTGATAATCTTGGAAGAGTAAAACGAATCGATAAAGTTTTGATACTTTGATGTGATACTAATTTCATTTTATATGAGAAATTATTACTTTCAATCTTATCATATAGAAGTCTTTTCTCATATTTTTAAATTATTTTGATGTAATATTATATTATAATTAATAACTATACAAACATCCAGATAGAAAAACGATGCCTCAATATTCACTTATTTTTACAAAATAATGAAAATACATAATGCACTACTCTTAATTTCTTTCAAAAACTAAAAAAACACTGTATTTAAATATTTATAATGATTTTTTGAAAAATTTTTGAAGCAAAAATGGCCTATTTTTCAATCTGATCCACCAATCCAACACGGATATGAGAATCACCGTGTCCCCGATCAGCTTTTTTAAACACTTGGAGGAAGACATTGAGATGCCTTGGGGAGCAAACTATAAAAAGCTTAACAAGGAGAGTTGTGTTACTTTTTGGGTTAAACCTTTTTAAACCTAGAGAATTATCCTCGAGAGAAAACCCAAAAAGGCGGGCGAGTTGTGTTACTTTTTGGGTTAAACCTTTTTAAACCTAGAGAATTGTCCTCGAGAGAAAACCCGAAAAGATCAAAAACCTCTTGAAGAAGGGATTTCGAGAGAGTTTCTTGAAAGAAAGTGAGTTACCTCATTTAATTGCCATTGTTTATAGTAGACTGTTTACCTTCGAACAGCAGAAATAGCCCATGAGGGCTTGGCTTTTTTTAGTCCCTCTTATACACACAATTCCACTGTGAATAGGCATTGTTGCTACAGGCTTATGAATCAGGTTCGACATTTAGGAATAATAATGAGAAAAATAAGAGGCCCTTTAAACAAGAAATGGGAACCCGATTACGGGGAAGCACCGGATTGATTCCCTTGCCAGCAATAAGCCAATCGGACAATTCTAAATCATCTCGGGTGAAACTTTGCTATCGGCAGCATTTCGCTAGTAGACTGAGTTCCTCGACCTTGCTCCTAGCAAGCTAAGTTGGCACACCACACATTCTAGTGCAATAATTTACATGGTTACCACCTATTAAGGACGTTTAAAAAGGGCCTAAAAGAATGAAATCATTCTGTACCAAAAGTTACATCAAAACTGGGCATAAAGCCAATAGTCAGGACGGGTGGCAGGTAAGAAACATCAAGGATAGATTAGGGCTACATCAGTTGCTTCACCTTCCAAAGTCTCAACTCTCTCTGACTGTAATTGTGGATTTGTTTGGTAATCCGATGTATATCAGCTGAAAGTTGGCAAAGCCTGAAAACTGAAGGTATCATATGAGAGGGTGAGGGAGAGGGAGAGGGTGAGGGTGAGGGAGAGGGAGAGGGTGAGGGAGAGGCAGGCAGGAATTTTCACGGGGCTAGTATCTCTCCTACTTAGGAAGCATCAAAACAAACACAAATTTCGAGGAGCATCCATACAAAAGGGATACATGTTAGGAAAAAAAAAGATCACTGTAACAACTCTTTCTTCATCAGTGCCAACAGTTCTCCTTTCTTCAACTTTGAGTACCCCTTCATCCCGTGTGATCTTGCCAATTTCCGCAGCTCCATAAGCTTCATATCGTCCATTGTCTTTGAAGTCAACGCATTGTCCACGGTCTTGGCCCCAGACGCCAATGCCTTCTCATCAACCTTTTCTCTAGGCAATGAAGATGGGATTGGTGATCTCTTCACGAAATTTGATGCAGGTCTTGACAATTTGAAATGATCTGTTTTCGGCTCTTCGTCTTTCTGATCTTTGTTAAGGGATCCTCTTCTCAAAGCGCCTCTGCCTCGAACATCTTTGCCCTGCCCACTGGTAGCTTCTTCAAATGTCACAAGAATTGAATCAGTAAGTCTCTCTTCATTATTTTTTAAATTTCATGATATTGGAATTGGAAATCATTCAAGTTTTTTAAAACAAAATTATACAGATGTCCAAACCATTCAAAAACTACTATGGTTTATGAGACAATACAGGATTCATCATGTTTGCAAATAATCAAAGAGTATCAAATGATGATTAAAGAACATCAAAGGTTAAGGAAGAGATACAAAACTTCTAATACACCCCAAAAAAAAAAGCTGTGCTGGAGGTCAGCAAAAGAGGCTGAAATTGTAATTCATGTTTATACAAGATCTCAATAATTACACTATCATTTTCATCTTGACCCTAGGAGCACTGGAAATACAAAGGTTCTTCAAGATTTCCAAGCAGAATTTTAATACGACTTCTGCATCAGAATCTGACCAACATACACCATTCATTGGTCCATGAGTAACTGTAAAAAGTAAACACAGAAGGACATCTAAGGAGAAGCTCAATGGATGGGTTAGAATATCTAGTAAACACAGGACATCTCAGGAGAAGCTCAATGGATGGGTTAGAATATCTAGTTAGGAAGTAATACAACTTTTGTATCAGTAGCATACAGCATTCAATGGTCGACGAGTAACTGTAAGAAGTAAAAACAGGACCCTCAGCAGAAGCTAAATGACTGGGATAGAATACCCATAACTCGAAATACTCAAAGCCAGAAAATGTAGCCCTATATTTATAAACCAACTTGAAAAAAGTTTGCAGCAGCACTTCTCAGCATAGACTTCAACCATAGGAGGTCAACCGACCTGAGGCTTGCTTCACAGAACATCATGGCTTAACATCACATAAAAAAATTACATTATCTAATAGTGACAAAAGGGATGAGTAGAGCACCTGTTATGTTAAACAACAGGTACTTTATTGAATATACCCATAACTTCTGTTATAATGGCTGTTAACATTGCACAACAGAAACAGCGTGTGCCCGTTATGGCCATTATAGTGAACTTTAAAACAATGAAACACATCTTAGTACAAACTCTCGCTCACTTAGGAATCGAGACGACAATAATTTTGAACTTACCTTCACAAATGGGGTGCAAGAGCCTTTATGCCCGAAATACCTCTTTCATATCCCCCAAATGAATAAATTGTATATATTAATGCGCTGCACATTTGCGCAATAACATAGTATACCAAAGGGAATGTGTAGCAACCTGCAAGTCACTCCACTCATGGAATGTAAAATTTTGTCAATTGTACCACCCAGATGTGCAGCATTTCAACAACTAATGCATTTGGTATGTATTTGGTCATTTCTTTTTCTTATTGATAGATAATAGTCAATAAAAAAACAGAAGTTACAAATAAGACTAACAAAATCAATCATGTAAGTTTTTCTGGCATGGATGGAATTTATCAGTGCACAAGGCATATTTGGCCTGTATGCCTCTTCTCCTTCCCTTTGAATAACAAAAGGCCCCATCGTAACAACTTTGTCTGCACATATAACTCCCAAAGCTTTTGGCATGAGCAATTTAGACAAAACATGGCTTTCTAGAACAGCTAATAAAACTTTCAGCGAGAAATCTAAATTGTACACGTCCCCCAAACTTAAAGTATAAAAAAACAACTCACATTGTAGGGTCTCAGGAGTTCTTCACTTGCAGAAAAAGGAAGGCAAAACACTGGGATCCCGCTGAATATTGTGCATAGGTTGGCTAAATGCAAAATAAATAAATACAACCACAAGTTGAGTGTAAAAAATACCACAAAAACAAAAGCATTCCACAATTACACAAAGATTTACATGGTTCACCCCAAAGGCTACACCTACAACAAGTAGATGTCCACTATATCAATGAAGATTACAGATTTGTGTTACAAGAGATACACCTCTCTAAAGATCAGCAACAGTCTCTTCCAATCTTCCCTTCTAAACTAGCACTCTTGAACAAACAACATCGTCGATCATCAGTGTTTTAAAATGCGGCCGCATCGCCAGATATGCAGCCGCATCATGCAGGATGCGCTCGCATCCGCATCAGAAACAGGCGCATATGCGCTTTTGACAGATGCGGCCGCATATACGCCGCATCAGGCCGCATCGTAGCCACATCCCGCATAGGCTGCATCGTAGCGCATCCCACTGCTACAGTGTCCACCAAATTGTTTTTCTGTTTTCCCCTCAGGGAGGGGCAAAATGGTCTTTTTGACCATCCAAATGTTAGGAAAACTGTTTGGAGGGATATTAGGGGCCCTAAACAAAGATTTTCAGCCACATTTGTGGCTTTCTTTGCATCAAATCTAGGTCAAAAAAAATTTAGGCGGAATTTTTTTTTTCATTGAAATCTTCAATTTGGCGGTTGTTTGATACTTGGATGTTCATTGGATGCCTTTGATTGTTGATTTGGAGACTTTACCGTGAATTTGTGATAAGAAATCAGGGGGGAGGTCGTAAAGAAATCGAGTAGTATTTCATAGAGTCGGTAATTTTTTTTTCCTTCTTGTACAATATTACTATTATACATATTTTTGGGGCAATGTCTTCTTCCCAATCTTCTAGTAATAAGGATCCGGCTTGGAAATATGCTAAACTAAAAAATCCCAAAGATAGATATTGGGTGAAATGCTTGCTCTGTAGAAATACTTATATGGGTGGATAACTTGATACAGAATCTCCGACAGCTAATAGTTTTGAAGTTCATCATTAAACTAAAATACCTACTATCACATATATCACTTTCATATTTTTTTCGATGCATTAACTTATTTTTTAAATTTTTTTAGAATTTTTTACATTTATTGACCACATCATTGCGATGCACCCACATTCGGGCCGCATCGAGCCACATCGGCCCCCCACCGCATCAGGGCCGCATCTTGCATTTTAAAATATTGTGATCAATCTTTCTCTTCCCCACAACAACTATCAGACAGAGATCTAAGAGCGACCGAAAAACTTTCTCTATCTAGAAATAGAGTTAAGACGAACCCAAAATCTATGGCAATACTACCTCTCTTTCTTGAAGGCAAT